TAGTAAAAAGTGTAACTGCCTGTTTAACTTTGATACTATCAAGAAGTTATGGCCCAATGTTGATGTACAGTAGCTTTAACTGGTAAGAAACTGGTAGACTGCACTCTGAACCATTTGTCTTTACTTTAAGATAACCATTTGTGTAGGACCCATGCAAAAATCAAAACCTTAGGCTCCCTCTACTGGTGCTTAAGCAACAAAGGAAAGAAAAGTTAAAATAAAAGCCAAATTGCTTAGAGACAGACAGACAGACACACCCACCAATGGCTTTCATACGGAGGACAAAAATCAATAGCAAATTATCTCCCCTTCTGTCTTATGAGGAGGTTCTAAAAACAATGGAAACATTAAAAGCATAATCCAGTCCAGAATGATGGACAAAGTATTAATCACCTGATCAAAGCATTATCATTTATTATGAGAAATGTTTAAAGTCAATTTTTTATGTTTAATCATTCATAAGTAATCCCTCAAATGTGAGCACCACGCCTTTTGGGACAACACCTATTTAATTCCCTAAATTCTTATGCTGAGATCCAGAAGAACTTGATTTCCAAATTCTTTTCTGATAGGAGAAACAAATACTTAAGGATATTCATGACACGATGAAATTTGTCTAGATCCGTATGCTGAGACAAGCTATAGTGAATAAAATTGTAAGCCTTGGGGCATGTTTGTTGTGCTACTGGTGTTTAATACTATTTTCTACTCCCAGTTATTGCAAACTGCTATTTTCTTTTTTTAAAATGTCAGCACCAAAATGAAACGTGGCAGAGGTACAATCATGATTTCCCTTTAAACTCTAGCTATTTCATCAGTCTCTCTCGTAAAATTTCAGATACAATTTTCCACCTAATTGTCCTCTCTATTAAACAAATCCCACTATCTTCTGGCTGTACTGATCACTACACATACAATACCTACGTCTAACCCAACACAATATCCATGCCTAACAATTTTACCCCATTGCAGCTTGGGGGTACATTGGAAGTTTATAAATATGATCAGACAAAAATACTGATGCGTCAGATGCTGGGGGGGCGGGGAGGGAAAAAAGCATAAATTGGAAGGCCTTTTTCTTTGTTGCGGGGATGGTTTTCCAAACTACATTTCTCTTTAGGTGTGCCTGCTCACAAACGTTAAGCACAAATGCTGAAGCATTATTTGCTACAGACAATGTTTTACACCAATAATTTCCACAGCCCCATACAACTAGCCCTGGAACTCTAAAGATGGAGGACAGAGAAGGAACTAGCCCAGATACACAAAGGGACATATAATGCCCAGCACACCACCACCTAACTTTTAGGCCCTAGAAAAATCAGTGGGGCAACAATGGGATCCATAAAAGCTGGGTTGGGCACATAGGCTCCATTTACAATGAATGGGGAGAGACAGGTGCCTATGAGTGCAATCCACAAAAGCCAGCATGCTAAGTGGGGAACCAACTAAATTAACCAATGGGAGATGCTAATGAGGGGTGTGTCCTGAACCCTGCCCCTCTAAAAAGTTTGGTGTCTGAGTCTGGACTGCAGGGTGGCACTTATGTCTGGTTACAATCCACAATCAGGAACGGTCTCCGGGAACACTTGATGACGAGATGATGAATTTATTCCAACTATGAAGATCAGCCCAAGTTTGTTCCCACTATAAATTTTTTCTTGCAACAGAAACGAAAGGCCTTTTATTGGATGTTTGAATCTCCCATGCAAAACCCCACCAAAATATACTAAGCCTCTACAAAAACCTCAATAAATATGCCTAATTCTATTATATGAAAAAAAAATCTTGCTTTTAACTTAAATTCATTAACATTCAGTTTTAAGCACTTCCAAGGACTCATTAGAAATAGAAAATTCGCTAGCGCTAAACATACTACTGCTAAATATTTCTGGATCCAAATCCCTTGTCATATACACACACACTTGTGCTTACTAGGATATAAGGAATAATGCCATTTTCCCAACATAGGGCAGAACATCTATACACAGAAGATGCTAAATATAAGGCTAGGCTGAAATCCTGACCCCAGTGATGTGAATGAAGTTTTGACATTAAGGTCAGTGAGGCCAGGATTTCATTCTAGGTGTTGAAAATACACACTTGCTGCTCAAATCAGCAAAGCATGCACACTTCAGACAACTGGACCATAATTCAGCAGCACCAATGCTAAATGGTGATCTGAATCATCCTTCAGATCTACTTACCTGTTATGAATTGCTTTGAAAAAAATGACATTGGGAAGACTCTGCTAAGCATTTTGGAAAGGTTGGTTAGCACAGCTCTTGGGAGGGCTTGAGAGCCATAAACATGTTCGTCTAGCACAGGGATTCTCAAACTGGGGGTCAGGACCCCTTAGGGGCTCACAAGGTTCTTACATGGAGCTGTCAGCCTCCACTCCAAGCCCCGCTTTGCCTCCAGCAGTTATAATGGTGTTAAATATATTAAAAATGTTTTTAATTTATAAGGAGGGGTCGCACTCAGAGGCTATGGGAAAGGGGTCACCAGTAAAAAAGTTTGAGAACCACTGCGTATTATCTGTGTTCATCCTAGCAAAATAAATAAATAAATATATATTTATTTATTTATTTAATTGGCTGCTACCTGTAGTTACAATCGTTTCTTCATCCATTTTTGAAAAGCTACAGAAAGCTAAACACATTCACTTCACAAGGTAAAATGCAACATGCTCAAATAGCGAAATCAGAGAATGTTACTTGCTTCCTGGCTAACTTAAGAAAAGCCAGGCAGCCAGGAAAAGTTTATCAGCAGCAACAGACTAAAGAGATTTTATAGTGGGGTTTAATGCAGGCAGAATAGGGTGAAGAACTGACTGATTCCAGGGATCCAAACCAACTGCTGAGCAGCTGATAAATATAAAGGATTTAAAATGTCATTCTGAAGAAACTGAAAACACTATTTAGCCCATTGTGATTTGTCTTTCCTGCACTGTTATTCTGCTTATCCACAGACATGATGGGCACAGTGTAAGAACTTAGATATAATGTACCTTGTGTTCAGCTGTCAATATCTTGTTTGGGACTTATGGACTGTTTTAATTCCTCCCAGATATACAGTTATCCCCAACATACTTTCAAGGCTATTTTAATTTTCAAAGCAGCTTTCTTTGAATGAGGAAGACAATGAGAGAACAGTGCAAGTCTAATAGAACATTTTCATATGTACTGTAAACTGTTATGTGAAAGACTTGACAATATCTTCCAAAACACACATTTTCAGGACATTGTGTTTAATAAAATGATTAGTCCTGGTGTAGTTCAAAAAAGAGCAGCCAGACCGCTATTGACATTCAGCCTTCACATTATTGCACACTAAACTGATCTTGTTTGATAAATTGGTAAATGTGCCAACTGCAAAAAACACTTGAAAAACCAATAGTTTCTAATCCCTGAAGTTAATTTCATGCTGATGAAAGGTGCCAGATTTAAAGACCTAATCCCTCTGTTTAGAGGCAGAACAGTTAGAACACATGTAGCTGCAGTGCAGTGGCTAGCAGGCCAGGAAATTTTTTCGGGAGGGGTCACTTTTATGAATGATAATAGTCCAGCATAATCAGTTAGTGGCCTTTTTGAGATTGCCAATTAATGACCATGGTGGTAATTTTTTTGTGAACACATGGATAATTCAACCAAAAGCTGCACTGAGCTCACCAAGTCATTTTACATTAAGGGAAAAACAGCCATCAAATGATGATGTTTGGTCATTATAGACCTGAGAGAGAAGAGTCTCTATATTGCATTATCCACCTCCTGCCCACACAAACCAGATCTTTAGTTCCTACAACTTTGTTGGGGGGGAAGATGTTTACATGTTTAGTAGGAGTGCATAAAAATAAAAATGTTAAAGGTCACTCCTCATTTTCCAATCTGAGATATTTTAAAAAGAAAAATTATTTCATTACTGAAAGTAGCAAATAAAGTTAAAGGCTACCAGATTAAAAACCATCTGTTTCCTATTTTAATTATTCAAATTGGAAGCATTCACAGTTTGATAAATATATACAATGCATTAACATTCCAGCAAGTGACACACATCAAAATAATAACCATTAGACAGTCAAAATAATTTATTCATGGAAAATAAAGATAAATCCATATTCCAGGAATGATTTTTCCCTGCTTTGATCTCTACCTCAACAACCTAGGACTATAAACTATACTTTATACAGATGACTAAGAGGACTGTTTTAATAAGATGAAAATAACACTTGGTGGACTATCTCAAAGTCAGTAAACTTTCGGTGTTATGGCAAGTACATCCCAAGAAACCTATGGATCCAAGATTGTTGCTTTGACCAACAGCAGTTTACCTTATTGCACACAGGTTTAACTATTCTTTGCTGAAATATAACCTTATTCTCAGTGAAGAATATTTTGTATGAACGCCAAATGCTCAGTTACGTATCATCTTGTGAAAGCCTCTAATTGTACTTGGAATGCCTTTGTTATTTAAACAATTTCATGAATGGATTGGGTTTTCAGTATGGGTTTATATATTTATATATTTACAGAGAAATCCTGTTTGAATTATGTAAAGATTTTTGCAACATTAGAAGACCGCAGCTATGTGACACCCTGCACATCTGTCAGTTAAAGACTACTTCTAAAAATCTAATAAACTTCACTATAGCTTACTGTAATGAAGAGGCGTCACTACAACAAAAGAAGCTACAAAGTAAGTAGGAGCCTAAGTACAGAGGTTTTTTAAAAAAATCCGAAGAGTAATTTTTTTGGCATAAATCATTGTTTTTCATAACATCACAGGTAGTTCTAACTAGAAATTTTTATAATTATTTCTGTGAATTAGGACTGTATGAAGAGTTTGATACTTCTGACAACATTAAATTGAAGTTCATAGTAAGCAAGAATATATTTGAATTGGTTTACTTTTTAAGTAGATAGTAAAGTCTAAAATAGGCTACCACCTATCATAGCAAAAACATTACAAAGTGTGTTGGTGTTACATCTGCAAAACTTACAGAATATAAGGATGACAGTTCAAAGATATTTTAACATGGTTGCCTTAACTCAACATAATATGGAGTCACTTTGCTTGACTAATATACATGTATCAAACAATCTAGACAAAAATGTTGAAAAATAAATTTTATTCCTCCTGTACTGAAGTGATGGTACTATACAAGTTCCCAGTTCGGTGAAAACAGCTTTTGGTAGCTAATTTTTAACTGGCCCATTAAGTTGTTTTGCAAGTAATGTAGTTTTAAAAGACCATAAAAACAGATTCAAGTCCAACTATGTGTTTTAATATGCTTATTAACAAAGACAACACGTCCATCTGTGTATTCCATGAATTTTGCTGTGTAAGCAAGTTAATTGCAACCATCATCTGAATTGCATGCATCAGTTCCCCAACTGTACATGTTTTTCATAATTTAAAAAACCCACTTTATAATTTAAAATATTATATATCATGTCAATAGTGTTCAGCTTTTCCTTCAACTAGAATGAGCCAACATTATTAGTTGACTTAGAATTTTAGCTTGGTTCTGTGAAAAGATAATTGCAAAAATATATCCCCAACTTCAAAATGTACTGTACAGACCTAGAAAAACATTAAAGGGCTGTGATACCTTTGAATTTCTTAATGTATTTAGAAAGGACAGCAAGCCAAAAGTGAAGTATCATATAGTACAAATATTTAGACATCCAGGACATACTGCATACAGCATAATATGTATACAGAGTGAATGCTTTGGAAGCATCTACAGAGCTCTGCAGTTTTGATTACTTAAGTTAAACTTGATCACGTAGGCGGGCCAGTCTCTGTGACAGCTCATCCTGCAGAATGTCAGAATAAAAAGTTATATTCATTACTATGTATTAGTTTTAAAAAAAGATAAATGAAAAGACTTGTACTATCCAAGGTCACACCACAAACACAACAGTAAATAAGACACAAGCAAGAGCCAGAGAAGAATTTGCATTTCTAGGAGACAAGTGTTAATTGACTCCACTGTAACTGAGTCATTCGGCTGCATCCTCAAATGAACCAAGCTCAAACTCAGCACGGATGAGAAATTGAAGTAGAATGGTGGCTCTATACCACCTTGTACCTCTGCCATTCCCAGAACCAGTCAATGGCCAAATCAGACCTTAGTGCAAGCTGGAATGGTCCTCTAACATACTTTGGCTAAAATGATTCCCTAAAGGATCATTCACCAATGCAAGATCACTGAAGCACATTACTCTAAAAGCTAAGCCCCTCAAATCTTCCTCTGCCAGAGCAGGGGGTGTTAACAGCTATGCCAGTTTTACCTTTGCTGAGGATCTGCCCAGGGCCAGAGGAATTCTGAGCTGCTCATTCAGAGCTAGTTTAAGGCCCCTTTGCACTGCTTCAGAAGCGTAGGGGACCTTAGCAAGAGAAGAGGACCTGACCCAGTATATACATCGGATGGCCCAGTTAGTGAACAGAGGAAAAGTTAAAGTATGTGCACAACTGGTAGACTCATTAAAACACAAACACACACCCCTTATGCCTGCAAGCAAACCTTGTTTTACTTACACACTTCATTTATTTTGATAAAAATAAAACTAATTTATTATATGGCCCCAGAAGTTTGCAAATAAATTTCCATTTTAAATATCACATACAACAGTAACCCTTCTACATAAATGTGATAAATGATCTATTAGAAAAACTACAAAGCAATATTTACCTGCTCTGCTGAAGCAACACTTGTGCCAACAGAACCTGTTTGCCCCTGGGGTAGTTCCATGTTCAGATCAAGGCTACAATTAAAAACAGAAGACAAATATATATCACAAAAATAAATATAGCGACAGATCACAACAGGGTGTACAATAGTTGAAAAATGGTGTTCTATATAGCGTGCGGCCATCAGTGTCTCAAGCACACCCTGATACTTTGTACTCCAATTAATTAGCCAAGCTTGATCAGGAAAGTGGGGTGATCACCAAGCAAAGAATTTGTCTAACAGTAATAGTTGCTGGGACAATTAGCAACATTTCTGTTTACTGGGGATGCTTTTGGATAGTACCAATGGGTTAAGCAGGGCTCAGACTGGTGATAAGGTATCAAATTCTACATCACAGTTTTAATACAAAGTCTGTCAAATAAAGGCAACCCAGCAGCAGTAGTAGTATGGTGCACTAATTCTCCATCCCTCCCTTATCCCCAGCAAAGCCCAGTCCAGCAGCAAGGACATTGTTTTCGTGCCCATGGGGCAGTGCATTTATGGCAACAAAGCAGTAACACCAGCTCCCGTCTTACAAAGAAGACATGAAAGGGGTGTAATGGGAACACAGGGCAAAGGACTGGAAGGGACCTCCTGGGTCATCAAGTCCAGGCCCTGCTATCACTGGCAATTTTCTCAACTCAAATTAAACACATTTAGATTAGATAGACAGATAAGCAGAGTTCACTGATCGTCTGATTGCACTACCCTGGGCTCAATCATTTTTTAGTATTAAGCCAGATGTCCCTCACTGCCTTTTTAAAGGCTGAGAGCACAATACTATTAAACATCTGTACTTTAAAATTTTATGTAGCCTTGCCCTCACTCATTTCTATTGTAAGATCACTATAAAGAAATGGATCATGCTGAGATAGTTAAACCTATTCATACGTACATGAAGTGCACCCTAAATAGGTTTAATTATCTCAGCATGGTCCATTTCTGTAAAGTGCTTTTATGACAGAAATGAGCTGTTCTAGTTTTAGACTTTAGCATAAATAATCATGCCAAAACTATGTGGTGGGTTATAACTTTTATCCATTTTCACTCATGAAGATTTGAGCCATGATATCCAGAGGTGAAAGCTCAGCATATAGACAACCACTGGATTATTTAGCTCCACAAGACTAGCACATTTAAAGTGAGGGAAATCTGATGTTAATTTAATTAAAATCAAGTATAAGAGCCAGATGCGACTTCCCTTAAGGTACACAATTACTACTACTCTTCAAGTATCAGAGGGGTAGCCGTGTTAGTCTGAATCTGTAAAAAGCAACAGAGGGTCCTGTGGCACCTTTAAGACTAACAGAAGTATTGGAGCATAAGTTTTCGTGGGTGAATGCCCACTTGCGTCTGATGAAGTGGGCATTCACCCACAAAAGCTTATGCTCCAATACTTCTGTTAGTCTTAAAGGTGCCACAGGACCCTCTGTTGCTTACTACTCTTCAATAATTTTTATATTATACTCACCCTGCTTCATCTGCCATTTCCTGTAGAAGCGTATCCACTTGGTTCTAGAACAGGAAATCAAAACTGAATCAGTTTCTGTTATTGTATTTAATACAAGATTAACCGTATGATTTGTAAAAAGCAAAAATTCTACTGTCTTAATAAAACTGATTTAGAAAGGAGCTTCTGTGGATTTTGAACATTTACAGTCTTCACCACCAGAGGGAGCTACAGGAATTCAGAATACAAGGAGCACATCTCATACTATGGCTGCCATGCAAATCAGTTCTCCAAATTCAATTACTGGTCTGTAATATTTCCAAATATGATTAAGTCTAATCCTGTCTGTACAAATCACATCTACTTTAATATCACAACTACAGAAATGTTACTATAGTTATCACTATTGTGTGTCCTTTATCAGGACACAGGAAGCATCTTCCCCCTCAGCAGACTTCTTTATATAACCCTTAAAACAAAAATGTTTACACTCTTTTGGAACTATGTTTTTTTAATTGTGATATAGCTGATGTTGGTATGTTTTTTGACTAAAAATGTTTATTAAAAGTTAGTCAAAAGTTCCATAAATTTCAACGGAAAGGCAGAAAGTTTTATGCTATACCACCACTCAAACACATTAGTTGTAAGAGGGGAGCTTAAGACAGTATACATAATATGTACATTTTTTATCAGAGCATTTAGCAGCTCAAACTATTCTTTTGGTCACAAGGTAGCATGTAAATATTTCTCATGTTAAACTGAGAATGCCCCAACGCCTGTTATAGCTTTCAAAAGGCAGAAGGTATAGAAGAGAAAATGACAATATTTGTGTACACTTGAGTAACATGGTATTTTATTTGCTGCAATATCAGTTATTCTTACTTGTGGTGTTGTTAACGTAGTAGTATTACTCATTGTATCTTCCATCTGTGCCGTCTGAACATCTAGTGTTTCAAACTGGTGCTCAAATTTGTCCATTAAGGCAGATATCTGCAGATAAACAAATACTGTCATAGCAAAAGTATAAAACTGAATTTATACCCCTGAATTCCAAATAATTAAATGTATGTCTACCTTTTCCAGGTTCATGCTCTTCAATGTAGCATCCATAGATTTAACTACTCCTGCCATTGACTTTGTTACCTAAAAAAGATAAAGTAAAAAAAGATATAAACCTATTACAAAATCACATAATAAACAAACAATCTTTAGTTTGGTTAACCCCTTCTGTTTTGAAGTAAACTTGTCTGTTCTCATCCAAAGAACTTTTACAATTCTGTAATAGTTGTGTCACACAGCTGTTTTCAGGTCTATCAGCTTTTTACTATAAACCCTGCTTTTCAGGGGTTTACAGTTTAGCTGTAAAAAAAAAAAAAAAAAAAAAAAAAAAAAGCATGCTCTGGGCTGAATCTGTAGAAATAAAGACATTTCAGAAATAACAAAGAACTGAAATCTATATAGCATTTTTTGAGTTATGATTGTAGTGATAACTGGGGCCTAGTAAGCCTACCCCAGTTGTGAGTAACTGTGAGAAAGTGGATAAAAATTCAGAACATGTCACAACAGCCTATAACAAATGAATTTTGAGGGTAAAAGATGTAAAAGGGAGACCAACAGACTGAATTAGTCTCAACAAAAAGGCCTACTGATATAACTCAAGATCTGTGTTAAATTCATACTTGGTAAACATGAAACCAAAGGACCAACGTTGTTGTGTTGGAAATTAGGTCTAATTGGTGAACAAAAATAATAAGATAGGCCAGGGATCAGCAACCTTTGGCAACCTTTTGCACATCCCTTGGCCTGTGCCTGCTTCCCGCACCCCCATTGGCCTGGAGCGGCGAACCGCGGCCAGTGGGAGCTGCAATCGGCCGAACCCGCGGACGCGGCAGGTAAACAAACCGGTGCAGCCCGCCAGGGGGCTTACCCTGGCGGGTCACGTGCCAAAGGCTATTCCATCCACTGATTCCTTTTGGTATCCTCAGAGAGAGACCTGGGAACATGAGGGATGTAGACGCTGACTGACAAAGATGAGAGAAGGGGAAGGAGCGAGCTTTATCATCATGGCTGACACTCCCATTGTCTCCTGGAACCCCAGGATTCACTGTCATACCACTGGGCTTTCACTGTCCTGACTGTAAAATGTCCTGACCACACCAGGCCCAAAGGAGAGGGACCCAGATGACACTGTCACCTCCACTGTCTGCAGCTAACTTCCAAATGCCACCCGGGATGTGAGACTGTCATCCCTTACCTCCTCATTCCTGTCTCCTTTTCCTTCTCTACCTTATTTCTTCTCTTTCCTAGCCTCCTTTTTCCTTCTGACTAATAAGATTCTGGTTTAGCAGGCCAAGACTGTACATTTCACTGCTGTAAGTCTGTGATCAGAAAGAATCAGCTAAATGTGATGCTCTAAACAGCCTACTGCTGGTACAAGTTTGCCAGGTCTTGAAAAGACCTTCGGCTGTGCATGTTTTTCCAGCAATGAGGATGCAAGCAAAAGTCAACACCAGAGACAGAAGCTGCAGTTTCTATCTTTAATGTTTTGTTTTCCCTGTGTTTTTGTCTTGTTGTGTCTTAAAGGAAGCAGGATCAGACTAACAGCAGCAACAGCTCCAGGACCCTCTCAACTAAGGGTATGTCTACACTACCCACGTTACAGCACTGCCGCTGCGGTGCCATGAGGTGGACAGTATAGACACGCTTTATCATCGGGGAGAGCTCTCACGGTGATAAAAAAACCCCACCCCAAACGAGCGGTGGTAGCTTTATCGCTGGGAGCTATGTTATACAGCTTTATTGCCAGGAGCTATGTTTTTTCACACCCCTGAATGACAAAAATTTTAGCGCTGAATGTGGCAGTGTAGACACAGCCTAAATTCTCTTTTCCCTAAAAAGGAGAGTTATTACCATCTTTAATATCATCTAAAAGACTATCCAACAAAGGGGATTTTTCCTTTCAAAAACTCTCTCCAGACACAGGGAAAGGAAACAAGGCACGTTAAAATAAAAACCTTACTTAATACTTTACATTTCAAATGCTTCAACTGATTTTCCTACTTTTCTGTATCTTTTAAATAGTTTTTTGTTTTTTTTAATGTAATGGTGGGTCTCCCATGGTATTAAGCAGGCTGAGGTCTCTGTACACCAAACTCTGTTTAACATTGTTTAATGTTGGACAGTTAAAGTCATGTTAACACCTTTAAATCTTTGAGTCCATATAGTCTATCTAAACTATTACAACAGGATGCAATAAAAACAAGACCACCACAAACAAGCCCAGGAATCTTTAAAAAACTAATTTTTAAAAAGCTTTTCAGGCCTTTGATCTGCAATAATAATCTCATGTTCCTTTTCTTCCAAAAGATAACTGTTACATACTTCAAATATACAAGAATTATTTCATCTGCCATTGAAGTGTAGCCACATCTGGAGTATTTAACAGTGAAAAGGAACATTGCACAACAGTAAGAAAAACACAAAAACAGCATATGTCTGAAACTGCACAGGGAATTTAGGTTACATGGTATGTTTACCTTAGGTATTTCTAAGCCACTTATTTCCAACAGTATAAACCAGGAATAACATCACTACTTCATACCATAGCATCTTTACTGACCATAGATGCTCAGGATCTCCATTTTATTTCTCATCTTAAAGATTTTGTAGCATCATTGTAGGGCACGGATTCAGTATGGAGAGGTAAGAAATCCATTTAATTAATTTCCTACAGTACCTACAATTTCCTTGGATCTCCCAGCCAAATGCTATCTAATAAGATCGTAAACTAAAGTAACAGGACTGCAGAAATATCCTTGACAGTCTATTAAAAATGCAGTCACTAGACAGGTCATTTTGAGCTGGGACCATAAAAGGTAAGTGTTCTAGTGTCTAAAAGATTCTAAACTATTGTTACATATCTATTTTGCATACTCTGTAGCAGGGGTGGGCAAACTTTTTGGCCCGAGGGCCACACCTGGGTGGGGAAATTGCATGCAGGGCCATGAATGTAGGGCTGGGGTGCGGAAGGGGGTGCAGTGTGCAGGAAGGGCTCAGGGCAAGGGGTTGGGGTGCAGGAGGGGTACAGCAGGGGGCTCAAAGCAGGGGTGCGACAGGAAATGTGGGGTGTGGGAGGGGGTGCGGTGTGCAGGAAGGGGCTCAAGGCAAGGGGTTGGGGTGTAGGAGGGTGCTCAGGGCAAGGGGTTGGGGTGCGGGGTGCAGGAGGGGCGGCTCCGGGCTGGCAGCGGCACGCAGCGGGGCTAAGGCTCCCTGCCTGCCCTGGCCCCATTCCACTCCAGGAAGTGGCCGGCTCCATGTCCCTCCGGCCCCTGGGGGAGAGGGGAGGTAGAGGGCTCCGCGCGCTGCCCTCGCCTGTGGGTACATCCCCCGAAGCTCCCATTGGCCACAGTTCCCTGTTCCCGGCCAATGGGAGCTGCGATGGGGGACGGTGGGGGGCAGCAGTGCCTTCAGGCAAGGGCAGCACACGGAGCCCTCTGCCCCCTTCCTCCCCCAGGGGCTGCAGGGACATGGTGCTGGCCGCTTCCCGGAGCAGAGCGGGGCCCACGGCACCGCAGGGGTGACAATCCCACGGGCTGGATCCAAAGCCCTGACGGGCCGGATCTGGCCCGTAGTTTGCCCACCCCTGCTATAGTAGATCAAAACAGAAATACTTTCTATGCGCCTTTTTGGAAACCCACAAGAAATCAATTTATTAAGTGCATCTACTTGTAAAATGGAAGGGACAGTTATCTTTAAAAATTTGTGACACAAGACACTGATTTAAATTAAATTAAGATGCACTGGTTAGCTAACAAGAAACATTTGTTTCCTGTAAGTACTAGGAGAAACATGCAACAAGGCATCAACAACATATGAAGGATGGTGGCATTAACCCAACTAATTAATTCATAACTCTCACAAGCCAATGCTTCACACACAACTTAGTTTACTGTGGGCCACAATTGAAGACTGCCAAGCCATCCCAGTAAGCTTACTAATTCACTGTTTTAGGGATAGAATTAAGACAGTTTAAAAGAGAATCAGGGGCCTTATCTTTCTGTAGAGTTTATATATGGAAGTATGAAAACATGCTTACCTTGCCCATTGTTACTGCAGTTTGAACTCTTGCTGCTACTGCATCTACCCTGGCACTCATGCGCAAGAAATTGATTGCTTGATTCTTCTGTCGGATTGCGTTTTCTGCATGTATTCTTGCAACTTCAGTATTACCCTTCTGGATTGCCTGTTTAAATAAAAGCAAACTATTGCTAACCCTTTTTAGCAGTAATTACCCAGCAGCGGTAAGCCCTTCAAAAAACTTATACTTGCAAAACAAGTGAACTCTAGGTCCAGTTCAACTCCCATTGAAGTCAATGAAAAGATTGTAATTGACTTGGATGTGAACTAGATGGCATCTTCTATGCACAAGGAAGTATGCCTGAAACTTTAAGCTACTTCCATGAGCCTCAATATCAGTAAATCTACAGATGTATTATGGAGTATCATTCTGGATTTATATGCTCACAAATATCTAACCTTCAAAACACATTAAGCACCCAGTTTTTCATCAAAATTCATACTTCTAGTACTACTAAAACAAATAACTTAAGATGAATATGTATACCTCATTACAGTATATTTCTGTTTATGAAATCAGAACAAAAAGTATCTCTCCCTCATTGTGTATATAGTGGATGCCGCTTAACAGCAATCCATATATTAACAATTTTTGTTTAACAGCAACATTTTGCCAGGAACCAACCCCATCCCATTGATTTTAAGGTTAATAGGATTTGGATACTGGCAACAGACAGGCCATTTCCTAACAACTTTATTTTTTTGGAAGAAAGACCCTGGCTGCTGGCAGGTTTATGGGGCAAGGGAAGCCCACACTGAAGGTAAAGGGCTGCAGCACCCACATCCACATGCAATGGGATCTCCTGTCATTGTGGGCTGAGAGGGGATGCTGCAGGCAGGGTAGCAGCAGATGCTGGGCTTTTCATGGGGAGTGGGGGTGCTGAGGTCCCCTAGAGTGGCATGGTACCTCCCCCTGCATGCTCTGATTGCACCCTGCTCTTGGCACATCCCAGAGCTTCCTTCCCCGGGCTGTAGCCCCAAAGCCAGGTTTTCAGGGCTGCAGCCACAGAAGAAAGCTCTGGGAATGTTGAGCACAAGCTACAGGCAGGCTTGTGAAGCTGCAGGCAAAGGTTGCTTGCCCCAATGCTTCCTTCCCTAGCTGCAGCCCCAAAAACATGCCTTTCGCTTATTGGCCACTCTTGGATAACAATAAGTTGCTAAAAAGCAGAACCCACTGTATATGAAGTGCTTTAGATATTCAAAGCAATGCAAACACACTAATCCTGTCATTATAACCCAACATTACAGGTTAACCTTAACACTCTTCTTTTAGTTCTCTCTGCTGCAGAGAAATGCAAAGGCAGAGCTGGAAGTCAAGTTACTGGCTCCCATAATCCATGTTACCTGTGTCAAATAGGGAAATAAAAGTCTCTGCTTGGAGATGAAAAAAGTCTCCCAATAACTACAACAAAAAAGCCAGTCCAGCAGCAATGAAATAGGAAGCTGGACTCTATTCCTTATTATTCTCATAGATCAACAGAACTGACAATTAAATTCAAACTGAAAGATCAAATTCTGCCTTCAGTTATATCCATATAATCTGCACTTGAAGAGGCAGAATTTAGTAAGCAAGATCTATTACTAATAATGAGTCAGAGACTTTAGGAAACACTAAAATACCTTCCTCTTTGAAAAGGCCTTTCCACCATGTTCACAGTCAACATTGACACCCCTTTCTACCTAAAAAAACCCACCTAACTAAAAAAAAATTTAAACCTCTCAGAAAAATCAACCTAAACAAGGTAAATAATTTAAAATGAAAATTAAAAACCTCCACCCAAAACAAAGTTTTTACCTCAAATTGGAAGAAGTGCCAAAGACTCCAAGAAGTCCATTTGGGACTTCTCTATTGATTTTACATGGAAGATGCTCTACGATGATGTGCAATGATAGAACACCTTAAGCTAGCTATACCAGAAAAGAACTCAGTTTAAGTTTCAGATCCCAAGTGAGTTTGCAAGACTAGTATTTAGTACAGTACTGAGAAAATCCGATACACAAACGCACACAACTTTAGTGCAAAACACACTTTCAGATGATTAAGTGAAATTTATCTTTAACATGTCACAATACAGTTTCTTTGCATTGTCACCGGACTGTAAACAAAAAGAAAAAAATAAATCTCAGCTTCAAAAAATAATGAATTAATGTCGTTCGTCATTCTAGACTACATTTTAAAGAGGAGTTAGAAATGGGGGAAAAAAAAATGGGTGTGTGTCCTTTTTGCTTCTTTACAATATAAGAAGTCCTGAAAGGTTTTCCTGCACTTATTTCTTTCATCTGAAATTCAGCTTGTCTCACTTGAATTTTATGGACTGGAAAATTAATGGAATTATGATATGAGACCAGAGACTAAAAGCAGAGCAACTAAGCTTTGAGTTATTAGCCAGACCATTTAAAGCTTTCCTCGAGACCTATTTAACGCCAATGTTTAACATGCACTTGGGAGAAGAAAGGTTTTATTGAAAAGTCAACACTCCTAGCACTTCAAATAGGGACTGTGGGACCTCTCAGTCCACATAAGATGCTCAAAAAGATCTCCAGGAGTTGATATTCCTTTTATTGAAAAGGTTAAAACAAGTAGAAAAACTTCAGGCTAGCTTTAAGCAGCAAAAAGGACATGAACCCTATTTTAAAAATCTTCTTCACAGGTCACATTTAATAGTATATGATAAACATTAAGATAATTTTTTCCTTGACAGTGTTGCTCTAAATTAACTGCACTACAAGAACACAGCATACATATTCTGAAGAAAAAGTTATGAAACATTCCATTTCAGTGTTAACTAATATGTACAATATTTTAAGAATATAAAAAATACTACAGTACAATCTTAAATTAATGTAGGTTAGATTGACTTACAGCCACCACAGTAATTACTTACAGCCAACAGCCAATGTAAGGAATGCAGTGTCTACAGACACCGTGTCACTAACTAAACTGACATAAGCCTCTTGTGGAGGTGGAGTTATTATGTCAGTGTAGTAGGGCACTTAGGGCTTGTCTACACTATCGGCGGGCAGTGATTGATCCAGCGGGGGTCGATTTATCGCGTCTCATATAGACGCGATAAATCAACCGCTGAGCGCTCTCCCGTCGACTCCGGTACTCCACCAGAACGAAGAGCACAAGCAGAGTCGACGGCAGCATCAGCTGTCTACTTACAGCAGTGAAAACACCACGGTAAGTAGATCTAAGTACATCGACTTTAGCTACGCTATTCACGTAGCTGAAGTTGTGTATTTTTGATCGACCCTGGACGGTAGTGTAGACAAGCCCTTACATCGGTAGCAGTAAGGCTGTAGTGTAGACACTGACATAATTAGGTTGACATAAGCTGCCTTATGTCGACCTAACTGTGTAGTGTAGACCAGGCCACAGTCTGTGTGTAACAAATATGTTACAGCCAATAGGACATATGTTGCCAATCTACATACACTTCCTGTTTTATTACAATGCACACCAGGAAAACCATTACAAAATACAAGTTAAGGACCTAACTAGCATAAAATAGAAAAATTAAGTATATACACACACAACCTAGTTTCATTACTTACCTTCTTAATTTTTGTCTTTTCAACCTTTTCTTCTTTATCACATTTTTTTGCATTCCTGCTGAGCTCTTTGGCAGCAAACTTCAAGTTAAACAGGTGTTCTGCAATGCATATTAAGGATCTACAAAATATTAGCAATACTTAAAATATGAACATGTCGCTTTCCATTGGATTTAGTAGCCTACTACATGCATACTCTATTTCTTTCTGCAAATTTTAATATTGGTAGGTCAGCCACTTTAATTTGCATGAAACTGAAATTGAGCAAACAAACATGCGTTTTTTTGTTCTTTTTAATTTTACATAGCCCATGTTCTTTTGTCATCTTAGTTTAAAACCATAGTTTGGACACTTTTTTTAAAAAACAAGTTCACAACCAAAATTAGCTTACTTTGATGAAAGACCCAATTCAAGTAGTTAAAAGGAATAAAAAATGCTGGTCTTTAGAACATGTGCACATACAGGTAGGGTGATTTTGAAGTCCTGGGAATCTGGAGAGAATGATAGTTCTATCATGGACTTCAAAGGGAGCAGAGTCATCGCAATGCTAAGCACTTCTGAAAATTCCATCCCTAGCACTCACACAGCATCTATATAGTTTTAACTTTAAAACCCTACTAAGATGCTACCTCCTGCTCCAAGGAATGCTATGGTGCCACAAACCCACACAGAAAAATCAAAAGGGTTCAGCTTAAAATTATGGCAAATTTGAGATGAAAAACAAAGCTACGGTGACATTCTTTTTCAGCTCCCCATCTCCCTATCAGATAGGGAGAAAAATGAGAAATCTTACCCACCATGTGTGCTATAACACCTGTCCACGACAAGGTGAGGCTTTACAACATCCTTCAGTTATAAATTCTTTACTCTTACTAGATGACAATGGATCATTTTGTCACACGTGCTGTTTAATGGAATAGCATTGCCCTTAAGTACCCTACTAACCAAATATCAAAAATTCATCACATGTAAATAAGAAATTGTTCTCTGTCATAAATAAATGTTTATATAAGTCCCTGGAAGGATGAATATTTTCCTTTTAGGAGGCAAAGAATTATTTTGCTGAAATAATGTGCGTATTATTTCTATGTAATTCTTCACCCCCTAACATCCACTCATCAGTTGGCACACTGACCACTAGTGAACAATCTTTTCTTTGTTAATAAGAAATGTTAACTGAACTAAACATTCATGCAATGATAATCTTCTGCAGAATTGCAGGATTTTTTCCCCTAAAAATCACACACTCTAGTCTCTGGCTTGTGCATCAAAGTTGCATAGCTGATCCTGGCTTGAAGCTGAATATGAAGAAAACATTTAACAACCGACTTCATCATGATGCCTTATTTTTGTAACAGAGAGGTGTATAAGTTTGGTGTGCAAGGCCATATAGTATCACTGTACCATCACACATTTAAAGTTTGAACATTATGGGAATATTGATTAAATCATAAATCCAATTAAAGGTGAGCTGCAAAGGAAAGAGATAGCTGTACTTTTTTGTTTGTTTCTAATGTGTAAAAAAAGGCCTGAAAAATTTCTCCACCAAAAAAAGCATTCTGTTTGTTTCTACATTAGCATTTTAGGTCCTGACTAGGCTGGAAGACAGACACCACAAGAGAATGAAAATAGTGGGAACAAAAAGAGAAGGGAGATTTAATCAGGCCAATGTAACGTAAGTTAGACTGCTTTGGCCTAGGGACTGATAATAGGCTATAAAGTATTTCAGCTACAGGTTGTCAACTGCAATCCAGCTCAGGTCAATGATCAGAATGACCATGTAAAGTATTACATCACTTCCTTAAATCAATGGCTTTGAGTCATTGTGACACACACCAGGATTTTATTTTTAAACTTTCTCAATTACTCACAATGTTTCTACGTTAGATAGCACAATACATCATCTGTTGCCTCACAGATCTTTCATGCCATGGCACACTTGCTCCAACCTTTAAATGTACCTATCTCAATATAGGATAACTCAGATGAAACCAAACTTCTTACATTCACCATAATTTATTTAGAAACCTGTTCAAACATTTCACCTTATTGACATCCTTAGAACTACTGATGAGGATACTGCTGAACCAAACATATAGAAAAAAAGCATTAAAGGTAAGATCATTTTATATATCAGGGAAAAGTTTATTCTATTTTTGTTTATAAAGGACGTTAAGTATGATTTCTTATCATTACCAGAAAAAAATTCCTGGCTCCTGCTACGGCCTCAAAGCCAGAAGATCCATCCAGCTAACAATTCCTGTTGTGTGGGGAAAACCCCAATTGACATAAAGCTAGAGTAACTGGCTCAATGTCACCCCGTCACAGACTCTGGCATAGGGGCAAGACCAGAGTGCTATGGCATTTCAGCTATTCCTGGCTGGTAAAACAGCCCTTTGGTGCTGCTGGCAGTTAAGTGCAAGTTTGCACCAGGGACTGAACTAGCATCCCCCAGCCCAACCAGGATTGGGGGAATGAAAGCGTAATGTAAAGCCACCTTTGCTGCTCTCCCTGTCCCTCCACTAAGATACAGTGCCAAGTGGATATTGATCAGACCCATTACATAAAACAAGTCAGACTTGAAATGGAAAGGGAGTCTGAAGAGTGGCAAGATCGAATGGAAGAGAGACTTTAGATATAAGAAATCTCTCACTACAAACACATTATAAAACATGAAGATAAAATATATTCTTGTAAACAAAATAACTTTCACTCTCTTCACATCCCACTACGGAGGGGAGCGGAGGGGAGAACATATACTGCTAGAAAAAAAAAAAAGTTTTTTATTAGCCCTGCAGCAGTAAATTGATGTTACCCCCATCTGGGAAGCTAAGTTTTGGCAAAGACACTTGTGTCATTCATGAATACAGGAAAAATTCCAAGGAATTTCCCACATTCCTTTGGCAAAAGAAGTCCTTCCTTCTCCCATCTAGCAGGTTTATTTTCCTTGCAAAAATGGAATTATTCACTTATTTCCACCTATAATCTGTATTAGGGCTGTCAATTAATCACAGTTAACTCACACGATTCACTCAAAAAAATTAATCGTGAATAAAAAAATTAATTGTAGTTTTAATCGTATTGTTAAACAATAGAATACCAGTTGAAATGTATTAAATATTTTTGGATGTTCTTCTACATTTTCAGATACATTGATTTCAATTACACCACAGAATACGAAGTGTACACTGCTCCCTTTATATTATTTTTATTACAAATATTTGCACTGTAAAAATGATAAACAAAAGAAACAGTATTTTTCAATTCACCTCATATAAGTACTGTAGTGCAATCTCTTTATCATGAAAGTGCAACTTACAAATGTAGATTTTTTTTTTTTTACATAACTACACTCAAAAACAAAACAATGCAAAATTTCAGAGCCTACAAGTCCACTCAGTCCTACTTCTCCTTCAGCCAATCTCTAAGACAAACAAGTTTGTTTACATTTATGGGAGATAATGCTGCCCACTTCTTGTTTATAATGTCACCAGAAAATGAGAACAGGCATTTGCATGGGATTTTTGTAGCCAGAACTGCAAGGTATTTACATGCCAGATATGCTAAACCAGTAGTTCTCAAACTTTTGTACTGGTGACCCCTTTCACATAGCAAGACTCTGAGTGCGACCCCCCTTATAAATTAAAAACACTTTTTTATATATTTAACACCATTATAAATGCTGGAGGCAAAGCGGGGTTTAGGGTGGAGGCTGACAGCTCACAACCTCCCCCCCCGTAATAACCCCAGGACCCCCTGAGGGGTCACGGCCCCCAGTTTGAGAACCCCTGTGCTAAACATTCATATGCCCCTACATGTTCTGGCCACCATTCCAGAGGACATGCTTCCATGCTGATGACGCTTGTTAAAAAAATGCATTAATTAAATTTGTGATTGAACTCCTTGCAAGAGAATTGTATGTCTCCGGCTCTATTTTACCCACATTCTGCCATATATTTCATGTTATAGCAATCTTGGATGATGACTCAGCACATGATGTTCATTTTAAGAACACTTTCACTGCAGATTTGACAAAACACAAAGAAGATACCAATGTGAGGTTTCTAAAGATAGCTACAGCACTCGATCCAAGGTTTAAGAATCTGAAGTGCCTTCCAAAATCTGAAAGGGATGAGGTGTGGGGCATGCTTTCAGAAGTCTTAAAAGAGCAACACTCCGATGAGGAAACTACAGAACCCGAACCACCAAAAATAAAATCAACCTTCTGCTGGTGGCATCTGACTCAGATGATGAAAATGAACATCTGTCGGTCGGCACTGCTTTGAATTGTTATTGAGCAGAACCAGTCATCAGCTTGGATACGTCCTCTGGAACGGTGGCTGAAGCATGAAGGGACATATGAATCTTTGGTGCATCTGGCAGGTAAATATCTTGCGATGCCAGCTACAACCGTGCCATGAGAACACCTGTTCTCACTTTCAGGTGACATTGTGAACAAGAAGTGGGCAGCATTATCTCCTGCAAATGTAAACAAACTTGTTTGTCTGAGTGATTGGCTGAACAAGAAATAGGACTGAGTAGACCTGTAGGCTCTAAAGTTTTACATTGTTTTATTTTTGAATGCAGTTATTTTTTGTACATAATTCTACATTTGTAAGTTCAACTTTCATGATAAAGAAACTGCACTACAGTACAGTATTAGGTGAATTGAAAAATACTATTTCTTGTTTTTTTACAGTGCAAATATTGGGTAATAAAAATAATATAAAATGAGCACTGTACTTTGTATTCTGTGTTATAACTGAAATCAATATATTTGAAAATGTAGAAAACATCAAAAATATTTAAATAAATGGTATTCTATTATTGTTTAAACAGTGCGATTAATTTTTTTAATCGCATGATTAATCACAATTAATTTTTTTAATCGCTTGACAGCCCGAATTGGTATCCAAGAATAGAACAATACAATTTATGTTGTGGTACTAATAGAAAATGAGCAGTTTATAATAAAACCATTGCCTTCATCATGTCTTACAATGAAGGAAATTACCAGTTTCTACTATGGATCATTTCAAGGTTCTTCCAGTTTCCCACATAATCAAAGATCAAAAGGAAACACTGCACCCTAAACACTTGCTATGACTTCCACCCTGTATCACATGCCTCCAGCAGGCCTGGTGTGGTAAAAGGAGATAGTCTGAGCCCATGTCAAGGCTTGAATGAATATTTTGCTTTCATGCTGAAATAAAACACTGGGCTATAGGAACCCAGAAATAGTCACACGGTTCAGGCCGCTCCCTGCAATGCAGCCAGTCCCTCTTCGGGGTGGGAGAAGTTGATAGTCTAGCCAATGGCAGTGCTCAGTGCCAGCCCATCGCCTGTCTGGTGAGGAAGGGGTTTGGTGTGTCTGTCACTCAATAGATCCTTACATTCAACAACAGTGCCAGGGAGGAGTGGGCAGCCCTTTCCCCCGAGGGGGTTCTCCCAGCTCTCGGGGGGGGAGGGGCCCCTCCCCCCCCCCGAGGGGGTTCTCCCAGCTCTCGGGGGGATGGGCCCTGCCCCTCCCGGGGGCTCTCCCAGGGTGGGTGTCTCCAGGGGCGGGGCTGCAGACACTCGGGGGACCCTCCCCACCACGTCTCGCCCTGCCCGGCCGCGCTGCCCTTCAGCCCAAAGGATACTCTCCATGCTGGACATGGCGGCGGCTCCTCAGGCCCGACCCGGCCGGCGAAGGCGGACGCTCTGGATCGGAACTCAGCGCTACCCGGCTCTCGGGTGTTGTTGGGAGCCGACTTCCGCCTTCCCCGCCCCGAGCTGCGTTCCGCGACGGCGCCCGAGCCCGAGGGGGTGGAGGGAACGTGCGCGCCACCGCGGGGGGAGGAGACGGAGCGGAAATCCCCGGATGAGACTCCGCTGATGCTGCCGTGCTGGGGTTGGGTGCGCGTGACACCCCACCCCCCTCGCGGTGTGTGGAAATGGGTGCCGGGAGCGCTGGTGCGGCTGCCCCCGCCCTGCTCTATCCCGACACCCCCCCCACTACCTGGGCTGTCGCGACACAGACGCTGCCCCCCCCGCTCTATCCGGAACCCCCCCACACATCTCTAGGGGTCTAGCCTGACACACTCGGGTGCCCCTAGGGGTGCTGGAACAATTTGTATAATGGGGGTGCTGAGAGCCCTTGAACCAAACTGGAAACCCTGTATATGATAGAAACCAAGCCAGGAGTGAGGTAGTACCCCCCCCCCTTTCCAACACCTGGGTGCCCTCGGTCCTGATACACCCCCCACCCCACCTCATCTCTCCCGGCTCTGTCCCCACACCTACCCACCCACCCGTTCCTGACTGACAGATGCTAAGGTCCAGTCTCTGGAGGAGTTAAAGACTACAGAATATTATGAAACTTCAGCACACCCCCACCCCCACATGCTGCACCCTTCCCATCTATCCCAGCTCACACATAGGGAGGGGGCCAAACAGACACCCTGAATAACTAAGTAGAGCGAGGTTGCAGAGGTGCAGCTCCCACCTCATGCTAGATCCCTTTTTTTCAGGCCACTTTAAGGACTGAATACCCACACACCCTAAACTCCCTGACTGAAGGTCTCTTCCTCCTCAACTATAGCTTGAATTAGGGAAGGGATTGCCTCTAGTCAGCCTTTCACCTAATACTAATTGTAGCCCCACTTTATCTGGCAACTCCTCTCGCTGGGGCATCAAGCTGCCTGACAGTGGAAATCAACTCACTGATGTCATGGGCCTCTTCCATTTCTTATATCCTTACCTAATGTAGGACTCCGAACAGGTTCCATGCTGAGCTCTTGGGGCTTGACCCTGCAAAGTGCTGAACATTCAGGATTAGAGGTGGGTGAAAATTTCCATCCAAACCTTTTTCCACAGAAAAATGCAGATTTGGATTGACAAACGTTTTGTGAATTCATGTCACTTTCACCAAATTAATTGTAGTCAATCAGTGCCTCTAAAGTTTAGTTTTGACAGATTTCATTTGTTTCAGTCAAAATGACTTCATTTTAAAATTTCCTTCAATTTTATTAAAAATGTTTTTAAAAGCTCAGAATTAAAATGTTAAATTTCAGGTCTAATCCAATGTTTTATTTGACCTGCTGTTATTTTTTTCAACTTTTCAGTTTGCTTAGTATGTTTATTTCAGGTTGACCCAAAACTTTTTTTATTATACAGAACTGCCAGCAAAGAATTTGCATAATTTAGTCAAAATTTGTTCAGCTAACTAATTTCTAGATAGAGAACCTCTAAATTTCAGCTCAGAACAGTTTTGATTGGTGATGTTAAAGTGTTGAATATTGATTTGTCTCATGAAAGTGTTGAGTTATGTGTAACAGTAATGTAAATATGACTGACTATTCAGAGAGAATGCACGCATGATAAACCAATATGTTTCTATTCCTTGGTGAGCATAAAATAACTGTTTCTCTCTGCAAAAGAAAAGGTTTTCTAAACTCTAATTCATTTAGGCTTCTATTAAGCAAAGCTTTTTAGCACATACTTAACTTTAAACATGTGAACAATCCCACTGAAATCAATGGGATTACTCACAAGCTTAAAATTAAGCATGTATTTAAGTACTTTGCTAAATTGGGGCCTACACCATTAGTGTATTTGGGGGGGGGGGCTAGAGCTATTTTGTATGCAGTTGAGTGCAGTCTACTTATCTATATATATATATGAAGGATAGCACAGTCAAAGGGCATTTGTATTGGTTTTCTTACCTATATATTTTTATTTATTCTCCTAATTTTATTTGCTGTCTTGTGTATTATTTGTTTTCAGGATATGGTGTTGTTTCATTTGAAATGTAATATCTTTTTATAATGCCTTTTTAGTGGTAACTTTAAAAAAAATGGATGGGACAATAACAAGGAATTCTGATATGCTGGGGAAAATATGTTGAAAGCTTTAAACAAATATGTCTGCTGCTGCCAATAGCTAACAGAACAGGTGTAATGCAAATACAATGGAACACAATATGTGTAACTGATTGAAGTTAACCATAAACAATTTTTGTAAGTTATACTAAAGATGTACAGCTCCACAGGTCATGTTGCTGCGAAATAAATCCCACATCATCATTTTCTCTAGCCATGGAGTTCTTGCATTTCAGCAGATTTACCATTTTTGCAATTTTCTACAATGTGATTTAAATATCCTGGGAAAATAGCATTTAAAGTAGACCCATTTATAACAGATGAACAAATTCCTCAAAAAATTGTTTGTGAATATTTGTTTGAATTCTTTTTGGCTGTGTTCACTCCTCTTTGTGTTTGCTTTCCAGGAACATATTCCCCAGCAGAAAGGTTTGTGGAAACGGTGGGCCAAATTTTCTGATGGTGTAAAATGGTACACTTCCATTAAAGTCAATGGAGCTGCACCAATTTACCCCAGCAGAGAATCGGAGTCAATGAATTTTAGCTGAATATCAATGAATATTCCTGGAAAGTGATGTTTATGTACAACATGTGAATATTTGCACCAGAAAGCTTATTATGAGAGTTATGGTCATCTATACAGAGACCAGAAACAATACTATGTGACCTGTATAGGTCCAATATAACTAGCCAACAATGAATTTAATTATCACATGTTCAGATCTACAAATCAAGAATTGTCAGTTGAAATTATTCAGTGAATAAATTTGAATAAAGAATAAGACTCCAATCCCGTAAACTGCTCTGTGAAGACACATATGCAGAGCCCAGTTGAAGTCACTCTCATGGAGCAAGTTGTGGGATCAAGTCCTTTATTTGCAAAAAAAAAAAAACAAAAAAAAAAAACCACAAATAATCAGTGTTTCTCGACAACAAAAGGAACATTCACTGAACAGATTATTCATTGCACATTACTTTCTCATTCTTAATAGGTAAGTGACATGCGGAGATCCCAAAACCACATACCTGCAAAACTCCCAGAACAGAAGCTACTTAGAATATCTTCCTAGCCTTTAAAAATGCTGCCAGTATCTATATACTACTTTCAATGTTCACCATTTCTGCTCATGGTCACCTTGTCCAACTATCCTGATGAAACCATTGGGTCGGTTTAAAAATGGAAACTAGCATAACAGATGGCAGGCAAGTAATCTTGAATGGATTCTGTAAATATACTACAGAAGAAAATAAGAATAATAAAAGTATTTTAATAGACTTGAGACAATGGGGGGTATTCTGGCTTTACTGTCTTCAGTGGAGTCAGGATTTTATCTAATACTCAGCTGCAACAAATTGTCATAGCTTCATTGATGGCAGTTGAGCTATGATAATTTACATAAGTTGAGTATCTGGCACCAGACTTGTATGAAAGACCTTTACTTTAACATGTTACGTTCTCTTTCAAGCTAGATAGTAGTTTCAGGATTTTACTGCCCCAAGAAGAGGGAAATCAAGGGCTATGCTTAGGATGAACAGGCACACCCCGTGATTAACTTTCCGTACATGGGGCTTGAACTGACACTCACTAAAGTAAATGGAAAAGCTATTAACTCTAGTGGAGCAGGAGCAGGGCCATGAGTCAAATGGTATCGCTACAAAGGCATCTGACACAAAAACTGTATATCCATCAGGTTATTCAAAAAGTTAATTCAAGTTTTGCAGGTTTGATTGTTTCTTCAGAAGTATAGCTAATCAAAAATATATTGCTAACACATGTAAACATTTTATTGGGTTGCTTGAAATGGAAAGAACCAATGGGAGTTCTTATGCTCACTCACTAGTTATTACAGGTACTACTTTGTAAAAATCATGAAAAACTATTTTGGTAAATTATGACAAAATGGAGTTATTTTCTTGAGTTGTCTTTCAGAATTTCAAGATGGGGTGATTCAGTGTCTTCTGAAGTTATATCTTTCAGTCAAAAAATGTTTAAGTAAGTGCTATGGACATTTTAGCATATACAGTGCTTTCTATTTTGGAAACTTAAAAAAAAAATTGAAGTAATTTGGATATTCCTCCATCCCTTCTCTCAGTTTTTAGTTTTTATTGACAATACAATTTATTTTGTGTACATATGAATTGTGACTTCTTTTGTGTTATTATGGGTGCTACGAACAAAAAACATAAATAAATAATACAATAATAATACAATTTGGATGTTATCTGCTTGGTAATTTTGAGAAACAAGATTGACAAACTAGGCTGTATTAGAGGATGAATTAGAATAAATAATTCCTGAACAACCACATTGGACAACTAGAGTAGAAGAATTCAGTTTCCTAGTGATAAAAGCTTAGCCAGGCCTGTCATTTTACCCCACATGCTCTGAAATGGTGGTGGTTTTCGGGATATAAACTAAGGTAGCAAGAGTTAAAATGTCCCTAGAATAAACACAACTAGTTTTATTTAAAGTGCTGAGGTATGAAAATAAAGCAACAAAAATATTAAACTTCAGGTATGAAAACTCCAGCTTTAATTCAGTTATAAAAGTGGCAGCTTTTAAAAACTCCCAGATAGCAACTAGCTGTCCATATTATGTTCCAAGAAAGTAACCACCATACTTTTAAGCTATCATTCAACCCTCAAGAATACTATTAATACAAAAGATGTGAAGGCAAGGAGTTGGATTTGAATCACATACTTGGCAGGAGGTCTACGAGTCCTTACCTGTAAGGTATCTGAAAAACAGATGATGTGAAACATGTTTCCCCTTTTCTTCTTACTCTTTACATAAAATAAGTATTATTGTTTAGATCAGCTGACCTAGACCTCAACTATTATGTTTTTCTTTGTTTTCTTATAACGACAACAGTTTCTGACCAGATGGTTTTCTCCACCTTTGTTTGCTCTCCCTCTCCT